ACTTTCCCTATTCTGTGAAGTTTCAGTGCAAAACCTCTCTCTCCATTCATCTTCCTCCTGCCTCCTCCTTCCCCACCCCCTGCTACCTAGGGAGCACCGTGAACAGGCGTATTGGCAGTAAACTCAGCTCAACAAAACAGTCTTGTGAAAAAAGGATATATAACATAATCACTTCCTATTTCTTTCTCCCTTCCTTTGCATCAAAGCCTGGGCTGGCTGTCAGGAATTTTCCAAATGAATAAATAAAGCACAGGAACCCCCCCTGCTTCAGAAGGAGTCTCATTGACTCACCATGAAGCTTGGCCAGTTCTTTTCCTGACAGTACTCAAGTCAGCAGGCAGAGCAAGAAGATCATTCAAAGTTAATCAGTAAAGTGTAAACCTATTATGAAAGCACATTTACCCCTCGCCTCCTCCTCCCTCCAGAAAACCAATCCCCAAATCTGTGGGAATAACACATAACGTACATAAAAGTTGCTATTACTTAGATCCCCTGTTATTAGGTCAGCAATGCCACTGATGAAATGCTCCCCAGAGCACTGAGCAGTGGCATATAAATCCTCCAAGAAATTCACAGCATAATTTGTTACAGCTAGAGGGCATAAGACGCATTACAGCAATGCCTGTGTATTAGGCTCTCCCCTGTGATTCTTGAGGCTATCTCTGGTAATAAAAATCTCATCTTGATTTCTTATCCTTCATTTTGATTTCTGTCAGAAAAGACTTTTCTTAGACAAAGATACTACTATATTTCTCTGTATAATCAGGGGATTCTTCTCCCCTCTTGTCCCCACCCCTTTGTTTTTTATTTATTTTAGGGATGACCCCAAGGAAGATCTGTAATTTGGGAACTGTTGGTATGTACAGTGGGTAAAGATTGGAGAAGATTATGACGATGATGGTTTTTGCATATGCAGTGCAAAACCCTAAATGTGAAATTAGAGAAAAATGTTTTTGGTCTGGAATAGTACAGGAAATTGAAACTGAAACCTAAGCTGTGCAATTGCTGTATCTTAATATGAAACTCTAATTAATGCAATGGATGGAATCTCTGGGAATCAAATTATTAAAATCCAGACTCAGATGTATATAAGCATAGCAACTGGTAATTTTGGAGCATTTGTACTCTTGCTCTATGAATCATATAGCTATCTTGAAAAAAAAAGGGAGGCCTGTAGATATACTGCATGATGCTTTCATTAAAAAAGCATTCGAAAAAATAAATTATCTTTCTTTTCTAGTATGGTGCACAGGGAGAAGGCCAAATAGAAATCCAGAAAGCTTTATGTGAGTAATTTGCAAGCCAAATAAGAACAGCTCCATGGAAGTCAATACAGGCAAACAGAACAACGGATGGTAAAACTGTGAAGCGCAGTGTTATATTAAAAGTATTTTGTCTTCTCTGCAGTGGGATTGCTATAAGCAATTGGAATGTTTTCATTTAATCTGTTCCTTTGGGTTTTGCTTTATTTTGCTATTTCAGAACTTATCTTCATAAGAAGCTGTCTTAGGTCTTCAAATGACTGAAGCGATGCCTGCTCCCTTGTGCAAAGAAAGTGGTAAATATTTATAGCGGTTCTTACAAGTGGAGAAATTTAATAAGTGTTCATTGCTTTTGTAATCTAATAGCAGCTGCGCTGAAAGACAATACCTGCTAATTGTGTTTCCTATCACATCCTTTTCCAATTGAAGGATAAAATATGGAAGTTTGGGGTTATTTTTTTTAGTACGTACAGCAAAATTTATTCAGAAGAATCTTTGTTCCCCTTTAGCTATCTGTTTATTTAATAGACTATGGAAAATGGTAAACTCTGTCAAAAAGCCTAGTTAAAGAATAATTTATAAGCTACGTTTAGCTGTTGATCTTGTAGACTGGCTTAGTGGAGAGCCAAAATATATCCTGGCAGGTAATAATTAATGTAAACCTTGACACTTCAGATCTGGCCACTGT